TATAACAACTCTCAGATTATGAATGAATTTTGTGGCTGTACTGTGACACTTGGTTTTTTCACGTGTATACTAAGAAACCCCCATGTAAAAATTACGGTAGGTACACCATGGCTAATATGCATTAAGATGTCCACTAAGTAAAAGTGTTCATTAAAGTGTCATATCAATTTGCTGTCACAAATGTTTTTTCCCTCGCAAAAAAGCATGAGAAGCTTCAGCTCGTAGCTTTCATGAAATAATAACTAAATAATAAGTCTACGGGATTCGTTCGTTCGTTCGTTTCAGCCGAAAGACGTCCACTGCTGGACAAAAGCCTCCCCCAAGGATTTCCACAAAGACCGGTCCTACGGGACCGCTGTATTATTATTTCCTTCGTTTTCTGGTTTTTCCACCATTGATTGTAGGTATAATTTAGGTACTAACCTAATACTATATGAAAGTACATGTACATGGTCACATTTTAAAATCTACTGCCACTTCAAGTATTTCTGAATCCCTGTGTTTCACAGCAAGTCCACGACGCGACACAACACTGATGGCTGATATTCGCTGGTTGGTGCACCACTTTACAACTAACACTCTTTTATACTTTGTTGCTGAGGTTATTGCACTTTCTGGACATTGACTAATTGACTAAATATTATGAAGAAGAAAGATTAATTGATTGCTTTTTGTATTGAATAGTCTCCAATTCTACTGGACCGATTTGAAAAATTATTTCACCGTTAGAATCATACATTATATCATCTGATGAACATAGTTCAGGTAGTACAAAGTTTTCCAGGTCAGCTAGTCACACAGCGAATTTTAACGCAAGTTTGAAATGTCATTTCTATTTAAATGTCACTAGCTTTCTAAGCGCGCGTAACCCTTATTACGTTCTTTCTTACATCTCGTTAGTGATCCTTGCACAATATAAATATCGCTAAATGCATCACTTTATAACACTCTTTTATACTTTATTGCCGGGGTTATTGCACTAGCTAGACAATGACTAATTTGTGTTAGAGTGCTTTAGATACGTGTTTGTTTTAAATCGTGAGTCATAGATATTTGTTTGTGACAGTGATATATTGAAAACTGCACAACAAAACACGAGAGTCAGTTATTTTTTTCAGGTTTCAGGATCCTATTGATTCCAATACAAGTTGTTCACACCACAAGTCACTTGCTACTTGATGTAGCTACTTCGAGTGTGTTTCTGAAACTTTATCTTAAATTTTAGGGTGTAGCGAAGTTTACTTTGTCCAAGGGTTATAATAATGGGTTAACTTTTCCAAGTTTTCAATATCAAACCCCACAGAAAAAGTAATTAAAATTCATTAATACACCCTAAAAAAAGTTTAACAATGACATTTTCCCAAACACAAACACCAAGTTGTCGTGTAAAACGAAAGAAATCCAATTTTTTGAGGAATACATTTTAATAAATTGGCAAGAATAATGAAAGTGAGATCCAAACGATCCGGTTCCCATTCAGTATGGAAGTTAATTGGATTGGATGGGGCTTGAATCAATAATTGGAAGATTACAGGTTTGATTCCGAGTTTGAGTGCTGCAACATTGTTGACGGTGGCGCTGGTGGATTAGTTTTGACAATTTTGTAACTTTTATATTTATCAAACTTGTATTATGGCTCTTTGTATCGCAAGAAGACAACTTAAAGTCAAAGTCAAAGTTTCTTTATTTGTTTAGACTAATAAATAGTTCTTACAAATCGTCATTTTGCTCTTAAGGAGCCTCTACATGTCTCATAATCTTTTTACCCTACCAGCGCTTCGAGACCAACATTTGGCAAGTGCTGAGAAGAAGCGCCGCAACAAACTCAGTCACCACTGTCTGCCGGTTAATATAAAATAGTACGAGTAATTGTTATAGTATATAATAGCATTTATATTAATCAGACTATAGCTTAACAAATACTTTAGGCTACATTAATTACAAAATNCCTCTTTCTCGAAATTGCATCTAACTACATAGCTGATCATTTGTCCGACTTACTTACTTGTCAACAATCTCGAGAATCGAGCTCCTAACCGAAACTGGGTAAGGAGCAACATGGACATCCGACATAAGCTTCGTTTTTTCCATATTCATCCGAAGGCCTACCTGTTGGGAAACTCGATTAAGGTCTTCGAGCATTGTGATAAGATCTTCCAACGGTTCTGCCTTAGTAAGCAAAACAGACGGACGATGAGGCAGCAAGGTTCTGAAGTGGAGGCCACGTACCGGAAAGCGCAGCGTAGGACTTATAACCAGAAGGTGGACCGTCGACCTCATAAAGGTAGCAGGAAGGCGCTGGATGCAGGCCGCCACCAACCGGCCATTGTGAAAATCAGCATCGGAGCCTGTGTTCAGCAGTGGACGTCCTATGGCTGACATATGGCTAGCTAGTGATTTTGTGAGTTGTACATCGATAATCAAAAAGGAACAAATTACAAGCATATTCAAGTTTTTTACCACTCTCTACAATTTTTGTAACACGTGATTTGAATTACTCTAAAATTGGTTCCGCCAACATAAAACAGGGTAATATAATGAAGGAGTAAAAGTTTGTTTGATACCTGTGATTTTACAAAAACACTTTAATTATGTGCTAGTCCATATAGGCTCATTATCTGTAAGTAACCATTCATTATCAGGTGATCCGTCTGCTCGTTTGCCTCTTGTCACATAAAAAACCAAATGCAATAGATACCCATAACGTAAAAATGGTTTTAAAATACTTCAACATTATGAAGTGCTGTTTTGTACCAAATTAAAGATTTTGATTAAAATCATTATTTTATTGTAAACAATCTAGAATTCTTACGAATATAACCAAATATTAATTTTATAGCATATGAACTCAATTCCGATATTAATATCGGAATTCCGATATTGAGATCTAATATCGGAATCCAATATCGGAATTGAAAACCTTCCGATATTACATGCCCTAGTGGCGAACCCAACTAGAGGTTGCCCACCGCGGTGTTGGACCAAAGTCCAGCCTACGGCGGGCTCACTCTAGTGGGCCCGATCGAGGGGACTACGGAGGCGGCCTGAGGGCGCCACGGTAGGCTCGGACCTCGGCTCAGGCCGTGTCCGGGGGACGGATTGGACAACCGAGGCCGGTCTAGTAGCTTCTTTTATAAGAAACTAAATAAATCTTAAAAATTGAATATGGTCGGTGGTCAGGCTATGGCAAAGCACATAGTATTAATAATGAGCTCACTGAATCGGATCTGTTCAGAGGCTGCGTTAAGCTGTCCCCAGAGAGACTGTCGATTCTGCGACTCATCGCTCAATGGATAGTTACACAATCGAGCTCAGTCTAGCTTCTTTTGTTATGAAAATTTTGGTACGTGTCTTGCAAAGGCGCGTTGTTCTGTAACATCGCTTAAAACTCTATTGAAAAACCGATCAAAATCCTTAATTTATCCTTAAATTGAGTCGAGTTTTGAACGGTATGATACTAGTAAATTGTAATATTATTATGTGTAAGAAAAAAAAACTCATTGATTTACAGAATAGTAAAATAGTAATTTACCGGGTTTGAGGTAAGGGTGAGAGTGAGCAGTGAAAAATAAATGACCCGATGATGATAATGAAAAAATTTACAATAACTGTGCGATCGTATTCATTCAAGTTAGGCCGTCAAATTTGACAGATGTCAAATGACAAGTGGTTAAATATCAGAAAAAAATGTTTTTCGAACAATGGTTAGCTTGACGTTTAGTACATTTTTTAACTATTCGTTTACATTTTGTTAATATTTAACCATTCCATTAGTAGCGAAATTTCACTATTAGTTATTTTAACTATGAATCAAAAAACTGGGCCTTAGAGAGTTCGACTCTCTCGATAAGGGGTCCTAGATTTGAAAAATAACAAATTATTCGTTCTCAATAAATACCACATTAGTAATTTTAATAGGAAATAGGGGCAATGTAGGCAAAAAAGACCTACTAAATATTTTTGATAGTTTATGTTTACTTAATGTAGATAAAATAATTTTGTTCACATTCCCCTACAGTAGAAGCTTGCCACAGGAGGAAAATAATTTAAGATATAAATTGAATTTGACATTGAATACACTGACATATAATCAATGCAAATTCCATGTAATTGACATTAACAATTATTTAAAAAATAAATGTTTATTGACAATAGATAAATATAATTATCTAAATAAATATTATAAAAGACGAATAGCGAATTCGCTATCATATTTTATTAAATATTTAGCCATTAATTTGGCTAGCCAAACTGCTTTTATTGAGCAGACCATGGATGTTCGACCCTTGGAATCTGTTCCAAATCATAATTTAAATTACATCGTAAGACAATAGAGGATAACTCTGGCATACAAAATTCGGGTACAAAGAAATTTAACGGTTTTAATTTAGTGCATCAGAATGTACAAGGCTTCTCTTTATCGCGCGCGTCCCTGTTTCAAAAACCGGGATAAAAACTATCCTATGTTCTTTCCCGGGACTCAAACTATCTCTATGCCAAATTTCATCAAAATCGGTTGCGAGGTTTAAGCGGGAAAGCGTAACAGACAGACAGACAGACAGAGTTACTTTCGCATTTATAATATTATAGTTGGGATTAGATATACTATTAGAGTGAACCTGCTGTTAGTTAGCCCTTCATCATCATTTCAGCCACAGCAAGTCCGTTGCTGAACAATGAACATAGGCTCCCCCAATGACTTCCCCATTGGCTGTTTGGTGGCGGCCTGCAACCAGCGCCTTTCTGCTACCTTTATGTGGCCATAACAACAATGTTAACAGCATTGTTGTGTTTCGGCAGAGAGGTAAGATAGCCAGTTCCTCCGTGGTTGAGGATTCCGGGTGAAGCTTGCTTCCACCTTCGGCCTGATCATCACTTATCATCGGGTGAGATACAGGCCAAGTGCTTCCTCGTTGTGGATAAAAAATAATAATAATCTGTCCACCTTATAGGTGGACGTCCTACGCTGCGCCTGCCGATATGTGTCTAGACATACTTACTGGACGTTCGTGAAATCGCAGTCTTTCAAGCCTGCAAGGTAGCTTTTGTAAAACGCAAAGTTCAGAGTAGTGAAGTTGCCTTCAATTTTCTCAGTGAAGATTGGATCTAAAGCCTCCACACCCAGCGAAGGATCACCAGCAATCATGTGGGCGATCGCAGCTTTTGCTGAAGTCAGTATGCAGGTGTTGTCATCTTGCTTGCATTTGGTTATAAACCCTAAAACAAATTTTATGGCAATTTCACGGTTTCTGACAATATGCTATGTATTTTTAATGACTTCGATATTTTGTCTTACTTTTTATGAGTATTAGTAGGTAGCACATCAGACACATTTCTGTTAAGCAGCTCTTAGCAGCAAGCTCGCTCTTATTATACTAATTGTATTGTATAGTATGTAACTTAATGTTCCCTAACTGACTGAAGAAGTAGGTACGTAAGCAGGTGCCATTATGAGATTTTTCTTCAGGCAAGTTTATGAAGTTCGAATTACCTTGACAATGAAAAAATCACACTTCTGTCTTTCTAATTAACCACGTGATCACAACGACTTATGTGTATTCTACATCGGCACTACAATTTGGTGCATTGTGAATAGTTTTCGCCAAAAACATAATTAAAAATCTAATTCGCGGGTGCCCATATCTTAAATTTTAAAGGTTATGGACTATTTACGCTTCGCGGTTACCTGTATGTGCGTATTTTTCTATGAACGAAGTAAATTACTTAATCCGCACGCAGCTGATATAAATAATTAAAAAAAAAAACTGATTCTGAGTGGCTCCTAAAAACTTGGACACTGATTGAAAAATCACCTAGTAATAATTGTTTATTTTGTATGAAAAATTCAAAAACGCCGCAGCGGTTGAAGCTAGAAATACGATACTATACGATTGCGATAGTTAGTCGTGCTCAGGGCACAGAGTATGCAATCGCGATAAACTTTGATTCTAATTTTGGCTTTAAAACTACTGGAGATGTAACTAAATCCAAATTATTTCAGTTAGTCAGAAAAAAAATTGATTAAAATGTAGTAAAAAACCTCTTGGAATTAAAAATATTTCCGTTTCCTTATATTAGTAAAAAAAACATACTAACCTTCTGCACCAAACACAAAGATCACGTTAAACAACGAAATGAGCAACTTTGTTCTTGAAAACATCTTGAGCTAATCCTAGAACTGTATTAAGCTTAATGTAAACCGTCTTGGCCTTTTATATCATCGCTAGCACATATTTGAAGCAAAAACTAATATTAAAAGCCACTTTTTGTAAGAAGGACATTAGAGTCACTGGATAACATTTGCTGGGTAAATAATGCATTTGACACTCGCATATCTATTATGAAAAAACCGGCCAAGTGCGAGTCGGGCTCGCGCACAAAGGGTTCCGTAGCAGCAAATATAACCAAAATTACAGTTAAATCAACCTATCTCAAAAACTATAAGAGATACTTTGATCAAACCAAAAATCGTTGAAAGAGTTAATTAGCATGCATCACCTCTATTTTTNCTATTATGAAAAACTAGTCCAGATTTCTTGTTTTATAAAACTTGAGCTGTTATTACCGAAACTCGCATTTAGATGATGCTAGTTGACAACATACAAGAGGTATGATTATTAAAAAAAAACCGCACTAAAACTTTACTTATTACTATAGTGGTTTTCAGAATTATAATAAGTTTCTTAGTTCTCTTTTTTGCAAGAGCTTATTTCGGAATTAAACAAGGCACACAGAATATTTATTTTTACAACGAGAACATCAAAATTATGATAACATCAAGTCAATATCGAAATTAAAATTATAATCACCAAAAAATCACATTGTTAATCAAATAAAATGAAAATAGACGTTCACAGTAGGTAGGTGTCGATGAAACATAAGTCGTTAAAATCAACAAACTAAATAATTAACGAATGTCGAAAAACCATACAATATATCACAATTTATTAGAAAATGTGTTTTAATATTACATTACAATCTCTCCAATACCTTACATTAAAATAATATGGACACTAAGTCTGCTTTTTTCAGGAAAGCGGAGAAAACTGGCTCTCTAAACCTTGCTTTGTCTGTTTCATTACTTGGTAGTTCATGATCTGAAATAATTAGAGAAGAAATAATAAACAACAATTAAAGTACCTAAATTCAGAAACTTGTACAAAGTTGTGTATTTCCATGGACACTTTAATGAACACACTATAATTTATATTTTTTATGAGCTATCAAAACACAAATTTCCATGCATTTTGCTTATCAAAGTGAACCTATGATGTCTTTAGTTCGATAAGTAACTCAAGCGAATTACTTCTTTTAATTTCAAAGTTTGCTTTATTTGTTTAGAAGTACATCAAATTGTTGTAATTATTATAAAAATACGAACCTTCAAAAACAAGAGTTACATCATTTGCAGTCATGTGAGTTTCATCGCGAATTTCTTTGTAATTTTCACCAATATCAGCTGTTACGTTGACGGATTCATTTTCTGAAAAAATCATAATAACCCATTTGATTGCCCACTGTGTGATTTAAAATAGCAATTATGTAGCCTTATACCTTGAGGCGAATCAAAAAGTTAACAGAAATGTATTTAGTTGTATCTCCATTTATAAATGTATTTCTTGGTAGTGGATTAAAAATATACATACAACAGTGGTATAATAATGGTTTTAATAATGTATTTATATTATTTTATTACCCCATCTTACTAGGTGTATTATGAGATCATTTACTCACCATAAATAATTTCACATTTTCCATAACCGTTTTCATCAACATCAGTCGAACAGATTTTTGATTTGTATTGCACCACCACTCGCGGACAGTTCATAGTGAAGTTTAATTTGGTATCAGAATTATATTTCCAACTGACATCGTACCTAAAAATTCAAAAAATGTGTTATTTATTACTAAAAATACAAAAGAAAACATGCAGAAAGATTCCATAAGGCCTTCTGTCAACATTGGAATTTAACCACAAAGTAACCGACTGTTTGCTGTACAACTGCCAAAACATAGTAATGCTGTTAACATTGTTGTTAGGAGACTCAGGTCAGATGATGGTAGGTCTAAGTAGCCAGGGACTTTGGTAACCTTTACCACTAACCAAATGGAGCAGATCATAAAGGTAGCAGGAAGGCGCTGGACGCAGGCCGCTACCAACCGGGCAACATGGAAAGTATCGGGGGAGGCCTATGTTCAGCGTGGACGTCCTGTGGCTTAGATGATGATAATGAAATGGAGCAGAAAGTGTTTTTCTCGCTGGGGATCGATCCCGAAACTTACGGGTTTGAGGTAGGTCTTTGCAATAGACTACAAAGGTTCTGCAACCGATAGCACATCATACTACACAATTTTGTAGCAAAATCGCTGCTATTACAACTGAATAAGGAGCGAGGTTGTTTACCTTGATGTTTATACAGCTTGTGTGTGTACCTATAATATATAGTATACCTACTAGATTGTTAATTTGTAACAGGAAAAACTACATATAAATGTCTTACACAACGTGTTCACCCGTACAGTTCTTGATTCCAGTGATAGTGGCATTCTCTAGAACATATTCTTTACCAGATATTTCAGATGTTATTTCATCCTCGTGTATTTCATCGGTAGTATTAATGTAGAATGTGTACACATTTATAGAAATCACTTCCCGTGAGTAATCTACTACGAAAGTTTCTATGTCTTCTTCTTCCGATGTGTTTGCTGAGAAAAGATACATGTAGAGTAAGAGAGTAATTAGAGTCTTCCAGTGACTTTCCCCAATTTCAGCTTGGTCCACAAGCCAAGTCGCTGAAGTGAAGTTTTAAATATTTTTTCTTCCAGTAACTGGGCCCACCTTCAATGTAATATTAATAAATTAAACACCAAATCAACAAAAATATACCCTAAAATCTTAGTAGATTTAGCCCGAGGACCAATCTAAAAGTGGGCCAGGTCACTGAAAGACCCAGTAAATAAGAGCACTATGAAATTTTTGTAAAGAAGAACGGTCATCTGTGACCCAGGCCCGACAGAAACGAGACATACCTTATTTTTTTTGTCATGACTGTCTTACTTAGTTAAATTATATATTTTTTATATTCGAAATCTATGTATAACACCAAAATATTACCCTTTGTTTTTGTTCAGGCGTTGTACAAAAACTAATACAAAATGCCTATTTATCACCAAAATTGGTAAATGTATGTACCTAAATGTCTATTACAGCTGCTATGGAATGTATCTAGGTGACCTGGAGATACAGCCGGATTATACAGGGTGGAAACGAGAAGTTACAAAATCCGAAAATTCAATGTTACCAGCTTCCATAATCTGTAACCTATTATTGGTACCATTTGAAAGAGCTCGTGAAGCACTTTCAGAATCAGTAACTAGTTTTTCGATATCTTGTATAGTTTAGAAATAATCGAGTGAGATCACTTATCGTTCCATATGTATAACCACCCTGTATAATCCGGCTGTATCTCCAGGTCACCTAGATACATTCCATAGGAGCTGTAATAGACATTTAGGTACATACATTTACCAATTTTGGTGATAAATAGGCAATTTGTATTAGTTTTTGTATAACGCCTGAACAAAAACAAAGGGTAATATTTTGGTGTTATACATAGATTTCGGATATAAAAAATATATAATTTAACTAATTAAGACATGACAAAAAAACTGAGGTAGGTATGTCTCGTTTCTGTCGGGTCTGGGTTTTTTTTTGTATGGGGCGTGACCGTTCTTCTTTGTTATTTATTTTTCTTAAGATTTGATTTTTAAGCATTATTTCTTTGGCACTGTACAATACATAGGTAAATTGCAATAAAAATAGTTTTTAATTTCTTACAATGGGTCACCAATTTGCTGTTAACAATTTATTTATATCAATTCCTAATGATAACATAGATGTGATTCCTATAAACCACATAGAGCACAGGTTATTATCCTATAAATAAGAAGGAAACCCTTATGGTTTATTTATCAATTTTTTATATAAAAACAAACTTACTTGTGTGGACATATAACAATCCAACAAAAACAAACATGAACAGTTTTTTGTCACCCATGTTTAACGTTTACACACTTCAACGCGTTTAAGGATAATGCCACACCATTGGCACCTTTGGTTCTTTATGTATAGTACAAAAAACTTAATTCCTATGAATTATTAATAATACTCTACAAATAACACATTAGAAAACTTCAGACAATATAGAGCCATCGTAGAAGTTATTTTTGCTATTAATTTATTGTGTCGTGGTATACATACAATGATGGCAATAGTGAAAATATCATTGTATTAAGCAATATTTAAGTAGTATAATTTATAAAACTGATGAAAATTAAAAATATTTTTAAGAAAACAAAGTTTTATAAAATTGAGACTTTTTTAAAAAATACAATATCTGTAGAAACAATACATCATATAATTTTATTTTCGGAGGAAATGTTTGTCTATTGAAATACTGAAGAATATTTAAAAAGAAATCGACAATTACAATACGGTGATTAATTTGTATTATTATTACGAAAAATATCACAAAACTGACTTAAATGCTTTTAAAAAAATTCATGTACTAGCAAATCTGCTTTTTTCAGGAAAGCCGCAAGTATTGGGTATTGCAGCTGTTTTTTAAGAGACGCGCGGTTTGATGGAGGTGGTCCGCCTGAAACAATGTTTATAGTATTATCATCACTATAATAATAATAGTAAATAACTACAGGGTGTGGCGGATGCCGCATGTACAATCGCGGAATGAAAAGGTTCGTCACTTTAGTGTCGGTTTTCGCTTGCACTAGGTACTGTAAGACTCAAACCTGCCAACATAACAGTGCAAGAAACAGGGCTGCTAACATTTAAATAAATATGACGTTTGCTAACGAATAAGGTTTTGCTTGTTTATTTTTCTATCCCATCAGTGCAATGCAATAATGACATTGACAATAGTTTTTTTTATTTAATAGAAATAATAATAGCAGGTTGAACCAACAAGAAGGTTTTAGTTTATCAATCATAATCTTCTTGACAAGATAAATCGTCAAACAACTTTGATCAGTGTGCCTACCATGAGTTTACGTTAGGTGTGCTCGCTAGCGACTGCGTAAAAAAATGACATTTAAATGTATGACATATTGTGCAGCGCCCCTAGCGGCTACTTTCAAGAAATAAAATCTTCATAGAACTTTTTGACGTATTCGCTAGCGAGCTCACCTAGCGTAAACTCATGGTAGGCACACTGAATAATTTTGAACTTTACTGACGAACAGTTAAAGATTATTTTCTCTAACTCGAGATTATTCTGTAACATAGTTTCAAAAGGTAATATGTGCTCGCGATTCGTTGAAGGAATCAATTTGAAAACTGACGAACCTTTTCATTCCGCGACTGTACTTGGTGGTGTAGCGCGGTACGCGGGGGTGGTGCGGGCGGTAACAAGCGCCGTCCCGAAAGTTTTAGGAGATGTATGAAAAAAGTTTTACCATTAAAGTAGTAGATAAAATTTTATTTACATTTTTCTTGTAATAACTTTGATGTGATTATTATTAGCATTCAAAACAATGATAACTGTAGTGCTTTTTTGTTCATTCATAATCATTTAGGCCGGCTAGGATTCGCACCATGATAAAATCTTAACGATGATTTTAGACGACAAATGTATGGGCTTATTGCGTAATTGATAAAATGCATCGATAAAAGTTTATCTTGGCACACATCCTAGGCCTATTGATGTTCGCATATCATTGTCCTTTAGTCGCCTTTTACAAAATTACGGGAAGAGTGGAAGTGGTTGTATTCTACTCTGCCTGAACTATAAGGAAGTTTTATTTTAATTGCAGTTAGTACTTAAAAAGGAGGACCCTTGAAAAGGAGGCTGACAATAGTGACTGAGTTTCTTGTGCTGATTCTTCTCAGCACTGGCCCATTTATTGTCCCGAAGCGGTGGTAGGGTTAATACTGGGACGAGTAAAAGTTATTTTTAAAAAAGCCTATTTGCAAAAAATAAATGAGTTTTATGAGTTTTTATATGACTTACCGTCTGTAGAAATAAAAGTTAAATTTTCTGCTCTCACATGTAAAGCGCCAAAATCTGGTTCTTGATAACCTTCAATTACATCGGCTGTGACGTGCACAGTTTTATTTTCTGCAATATGAAATAAATAATAATTTATAGCATTTGATTTTTAAATTAATGTTGATGCATGAACTTATCACATTTTATTTAGGCGAGCTTAGGTACAACATGTCGTACCTTAAATCAAACCGAGCTGAAAGTTTGCTCTAATTGGGAATCGAACCCGGGAATTCGGTTTCTAAGACAGCTGACAATCATACCACTAGATTATAGAGGCGGTACATCACTATTTAACTTACCGTAAACAAATTCACATTTTTCGACAGTATTGTTGACATTGTGCTTACAACTTTCAGACTCATATTCTGCTACTATGCGTGGGCAGTTTAATTTGAATTTCAATGCCTTGCCACGTCTGAAACAAATATTATCTATATTAAGTTTAACAATAAAATGAAATAATGTAGTTTTATGTAATTAACGTAACTAAACAAAATAAATTCTTACGTGACGTTTTCCCCTGTGCAGTTTTTGAATCCAGATGCTGTGACATTTTGTATCGCAAACTTGTCGCCTAATATTTCAGTCGATATTTCGTCTTCGTATATGACGTCTGTTGTGTTGATTACGAATTTATGAATTATTAGCCTGACCTCTATATTTGGGTAATTGTCTACCCCACGATACGGTGGAGGTATCGCAGATACTGTAACAATATCAAAATATAGACAATGTTTGAAGAATCACCAAGAGTCAAGAATATGCCGTTTTATTTATTTTGCTATTAAGAATTGCTGTGTGAAATGGTCCAAAGATATTTAAAATAAATGTATGCTTAAGCATAGCTCCATAGACATTTTATAATTTTCCCGACTTTGTAACTGCTTACATAAGCATTGTGAATTTATTGTACTAATAAATGTAATAACTTTTTTTATGCATAGCAAGGCAGTTATTTGACCACAGTTGTAGCTTTTTTCATGTACAAAATATTGCCGACAGGTGGAGTTAAAGAGCGATCAGTTTCACAAACTTCTTAACCCTCGCTGTACGAGGTGGGGTGTGACACACCCCAGTCCTTTAAAAATAGCCACAATTTTAAAAATTTGCAAGTGCTGAATTTGAAATTCTCAGTAGCTGGAATTATGACACTGCTGCTTCGATCAGCGCTGCAAAATCAGTCCAGCGGTGACTACCAACTGAGTTACATGCCTTTAAAGAGCGTGTGGGTGTAACACACCCCACCTGGTACGGGACGTTGTTAAAAAGTTTTAAAAAAAATCTAACAATTTTGGTGTAATTTATATATTTTTAGCTTTGTCAATTGAATAAAATTCAATACAAATATTATTTTTCGTGATTTTTACGGTATCTGAAATTTTCAAGCACTTTTAGTCAAATGAGATGACTTTTAGTGTAAATCTGGAAGTTTTGTACTGAGATCCGAAGATGTATGTGAACATACACTTATGGGCTATAATATATACTTGGTGATACAATTTATGGGCTATTGAAATGGAATAACATATTTTATAAATAAATAAAATTGTTACGCTCCCATTTTAAGCATTGAGCATACTCATTTTCTTTCATCAGAATTGTGGTAAATTGAAAACCGATGATCAAAACAAATTTATACCCTTCCAGTTTTTAATTTACTTTTAAATTATAAGTAAATACTTGTACTTTGTTAAATAAAAACGGTTGTCATAATTAAAGGCACTAATTAAAAATTATACATAGGAAACTGATTCCTAAATTACAAGAACAACGGAAATTGTGTCTTTTTGTTTTCTTATGATAAAAATGTTATAATACATATTTTCAGCTCAGAGCATTTCTTAAACCTAATTAGCATACGTAAATAATCAATATTAAATATTAAATTCCACCTAAAAAAAAGTTGAATGNAAAAACTCAAAAGAAGTTTAAAAAAAAATGGCGCATCTCGGAGTGACACCTCCCTAAAAACACCTCGAAATCACATTTTCAATCCAAGATGGCGGCGCGGCCATTTTGTTTTTCCATTTTTTTTTCACATTTTTTAGCACACCTTGGCAACTCCAACAAACCACCAAAAAGGAAAAAATTCAGGACCAAAGACATAAAAGTTGGTGTCTCAAAAAATGCTGCCATTTTGTTTTTTGGTTCAAAAAATATACTAAAGCTGGCAGTCGAAAAATCTAGTTTAAAACAAACACTAAAAATTTTACCCCTCTCCCCTCTAAATACCCCAAAAATACCCCTGATCAGTGAGTGAGTCAGTCAGTCAGTGGTAATCGAGCTTTATATAATATAGATATTCAACTACTTAGGAATTAGAATTTGAAGGCGTAAAACAAGGAAAAATTACATTTTGTAACAAAAAAAAAATAATCCATATTTTTGTAAGAGCATTTTTGAAAAATAAATAAATTGTGTGATTTGATATTTCGGGGTCATTTTTATGCTAATAGTAATTATTTCACTACTGTTTTGATTGTTAAAAGGTCATTCATTCATTTAGTTCATAATTATTCCATGAAATATGTTACATAGCATGTTAAAAATCTCTACTATCCGCTTGAAGATGATGAGATCTGGTTCTTTAAGTAGAATATTTGTTTTATGGACAAATTCTAACAGCTGACTGATCTATTTTGGAGCAGTGCAGCAATGGCTTCTTTTTGTGTAGACAACACATTTGAGCCTTTTTTTTTCGTGTGCGCCTATGTGAGCCTACCGCCACCTCTTAATATTCGCTACTAATTACAGTTTGTAATGCCGGGTGTACACTCGCGTGTAATATTGCGGCGTAATTACAATGTTTAGTTAAAACTGTAGTGCACACGGGCCCGATGATTACGTCCGCTTACCGTTCCTGTAATTAAACATTTTAATAACTCACGTTAAGCGCTAGTGTGCTTTAGTGTGTTTTTCCACGTCGTGCGTTTTGTCATTATTTTTTAGAAATAATTATTTTTGGATTACTCTTTGTTTCTTGTAATGACTCTTTTATGGTTGGTTATGGTTTGTAGATTAAT